ATTGGTGTATTATTGCTCCTGTTAATCTGCCTGTGGGTGGCTAATAAAGGAACTCCATCAGGGATGTTATCAGTCATAGGCAGAAGGTGTCTCGTGGAGGGGAAATAAGATGGAGGGAACGTAGAAGGACAGAAAGGTGAGAAGGGATTCTTTAAAGAAAGTCAAAGATGAAAAGGAAGATTTTGATTCATGTCGAAAGAAAGAGCCGTGGATGGAAAAGTGAAAGGAAGAAAAGAAAAAAAAGGCATGACTGCTGCTAAGWTGTTTGTGGTTCAGATTGTGTCTGTTTGAGGAAAATGAGGACAGATCAGCGAGCTGGATGTTGTTCTGTTGGAGTTGTGAGTATGATGTTGTTCCCGGGAGAAACCTTTTATGATTGATGAGACCTTGTTCTTCTGCCTCTGTTCTATTTCCAAAACTTGAGCTGAAGGAGGAGGAGGAGGAGGAGGTTGCAGCAACGAGGTGATTAGATTACTTTCTATTACAGTGGCAGCCTGAGACAGGTATTGCCCACGACAGAAGCCCCTCAGTCCCAATGCCTTTTGCAATAACAGCATGTTGGCAACTGACCCTGTGGTGTAAGAGGGGAAGCTAACATGGCAAACTGGTGTTTCTTTATTCCTCTGGGCAGCGAGGCAGGGATTGCATTGGCACACACTCAAGAGACGACTGAAGGTGGTGTTGCAGGCTGGAAGACAAAGACAAGTCATTCAGAAGCAAGGGCGGGAAGAAGATGGATCCATTTCTGAAGACTAAATGAGCACATTAAATAAAATGAGCCCAATCTGTCTTTTAAACYGACAGTCACTGAAGCACTTAAAACATTTTATACAAGGGTCCTTTATTTATTAAGTCAAATGGCATGTGATGGATGCTGAGGGAAGCAATTTGCTCAGATTTAATGTGGAGCTTTGCACCCAGGAGATGTTATTTTTCTTTCTTTTCTCTGTTTATTCAGGAAACTGTTTTTCAGCAGGCACAAAGAAATGAAATTCTGGTAAATATGTTTTCCTGCAAAAAAAATAAAAATAAATAAAAAAAACGTGAACCTTTTTTTAAATTTATCAGAAACATGTTTGGTGCAATATTTTGTAAGACTGATTCATTTCAGAACCAACATTTTTATTCACAAAATGCTGACAACCTATGCTGTCAGTCAGCTCTTCATGTTACCTAAAATAACTGGTGCTGAGCTTGGAATTTAAATTCAAGTGGAGGCGGCTGAGCCTGCAGAGACTCGAGTTGCCTTTCTGATAGCACCCCCTGCTGACGAGCTTGTGCTACGTCAGGCATTACTAATGTGAAGAAGATCACTTAATTCATTTAATTTCCTTCTGTCAGACAAATTTTCTTTCTTGGTGTTATTTTAGTTTATTTTATTTAGTGTGTGTTTTTATGTTTATTGCTCCTTGGTCAGTTTCTATTCACTCTCCACTCTGCCATTGTTTTTGATTTATGCCATGTGTTTGCACTTACAAGTACCTGCAAATGTAGCCTGAAAACTTTTCATTTAAATAAAACATTTAAGTTTATTTGAGCTCTTCGTCAGTCTGCATTCCTGGATCTTTATCCCTACAAATTGTAACAGTTGTATTTTATGCACCAGTGTGAGTTTTGGTTCGTGGAGCTTCTTCTTCAGATGTCCTCAGCTGCATGCCAATGTTAGCTTCCCATTTCACCACCTGTTTTTGTAAGCAGCTTACCTGCATTCCCTCAGCTCTGTTTATCAGCTTTATAAATATGTATTCTTTATGGTCTTCCCTGTGCACTGGGTTTTGCCAGTGTGTTTCRAGGCTTAGGGTTGTGTTCCCCTCTTATTCCGTGACTGCATTTATTTAAGTTTCTATATTTATATTATCTGCTTGTGCAGCACTTTTAGTTGTTAAAGTTTTTGGTGCGGCTATCTACCTGCCACCAGTCTTCTACTTGCATTTAAATTCTCTTCATCGTGGATCAAGACACATCTGGAAGAAGACAAAAACTGCTGCATGTTTACTCAGTTAAAYCCCCCTGAACTTCCTCTTGTGTCAACAGAGCATGTACATTTGAAATTTCCAGAGCYATTCAACGTAGGTGAAGGTTGCATCACTGAGAGAATTTAATATCAGCACTTATGTGACTGACATTTACACTACTGAGACCCATTTTCCTTCCATGCATTTTTTGGCATGTTCTGTGGTTTTTTTTTTTGTTTTTTTTTTTTTGTTGTTCTACAAACCCCAAAACCAGAAAAGTTGGCACGTTGTGTAAATCGTAAATAAAAACAAAATACAATGACTTGCAAATCTTTTTCAACCCATATTCAATTGAACACACTGCAAAGACCACATACCTAACGTTCGAACTGGTAAACTTTGTTATTTTTTGCAAATATTAGCT